AGTCCCTGGTGTTAATTGTACAATTTCCTAAGGAGAACTCATTTGGTGTTAGAAAAAGTGGAACAAAAATAGTTAAGAAGCTGCAGTTAACTCAGAAGAGTGACAAAGTCCCAGACACAACTAAAATGAAAGAAACTAACCAGTTCAAGATAAATGGGCTGGGGTGCATTCTGAAGATTTCGAACTCTTGTGAAGTCTTGATTGGGGTTCGGTCAGTGTGCAATTCATACTTTTATCAGGCTGTTCTTCTGGTACAAGGGAAATGTTAGGTGTTTCATAAGACACAGACTGACCTGAGGAAGATCATTGATCTCACCGTGGATGATGACGTCCAAGAGGCAAATGACCTGTTTACTCAGCAGCTACAGAACGTGAACATGCACTATCGACCTGTGCTGCACTACACGCAGCATAGATTTTCCAGCACGAGCTCAACTGAAAGCACAGTGCAAGAATACAAACACCTGAGCTGGAGTTTCTGGGAAGGGTATGGCTTAGGGTAACTCTGATAAGATTATAGGACACAATGTCTCACACATGCACTCTTTTATTCTCAGGCACTCAATAAAAGGCAGCATCTGAACAAAACAAGGCTGCTACAGAGCCAGCGTCAATTTAAAAGCTGTCTCCCTTGGCCTTCCAGAGCAGTGACCATCATGGCTTCTTCTCCACAGGGCAGATTTCAGGTCATTTGAAGAAGAGATTGGCAGCCTTTCCCCCTGACTGCCTGTGTTTGTCTAACGTGTACACATAACATACAGCTGGCATCAAGCTAGTTCCACCTCACTCTGAGTAAGACAAACAGACCGTGGACCAGGTCACATTACTGTTTCCAAATTAAAATGGGTCAGTAAATGGTGCTAAAAATACTCCTATTTAAGACCAAAATACATGCAGAAAGTTTTAATCTGACATTGAATGATACAGTCAAAGAAGGGGCTAGAACGTTTCCAAGCACTACACCCATTACCAGCAGATACCCAATGTCTCTGACTATTATTACTGAATAATGACAATCCTTCCATGTCGTATACAGTACATGGGGATGGGGGTGAAAAGTAGTAACCCCCCCAGCAGGAAGGGTGTGGGTTCAGGGGCCCCCCTTGACAAAGGTACCCTGCCCCACGTTAATGCCCCCATCTGCATGACCAGCCAACCTTTCTGGGGAGAAGGACTTCTGTCCCATACACTGAGGATTCTTACACTCCCTGTCCACTACAGAAACTGGTAGAAGCCCCAGCCTGCTGTGCTGGGCTCACACATAGGGGGAAAATACTACATCATAGATAGGCCAAAAGAGGGTGCGTCTTTTTTCATTATTATTACGTTATTACCCATTAATAATTAAAGACACAACATTCCTTAGCTGTCCTAAGATCGGAATAAGGTCATGACTTTGCTCAGCTCATACAGCTTCATGCCAGGGAATCTCTCGGTTTAATGATTAAACCTGTACTACTGACTAATTGGAATGTAACTACTCCAGAGGAATTTCTCTAAGCGCAGCGGTGGATATTAAGCGTTAAGTGCTCATTAGAATTTCGCTTTTTCGTTAAGGAAAAAAACGCTTCTACGTCATTGCTGTTCCTCCTGTTTTGCACTTCAGTGATATTTTTTACCTGACGAATCCTGTCTGTTCGCAGGAGCAGTGGTTGAATTATTAATAGCTATGAAGTCATTTCTGACTCCCTTGTTTCTGTTTCCTAACAGGTAAAAACGTTATCTTTAACTCAAATGTGTCACAGAGCAGAAATGCGGAAAATACTTCAAGGCTGAAACTCATTTTGTCCCTCAAATGACTACGAGATTTCCGAAGAAAATAGCGTACTTGTAGCCTAGACATTTTTGAATAACACTTACACACATTTCGTTTACCCCTTCGGACAAATGATCCTACATCACCTTGAAAACAGCTCTGCCAAGTATCGTGGAGCCTACGTGTAGGTTAAAGGATACACTGTGGATCACATCTAATCTGCTGCCATGTCAATATTTGTGTTAAATCAAGCAGGAACGTGAGAAAGTTGTCTAACCGACCCGATTTTGGTCGTTCTGTTGTTATTATTGATCAGCGATTTTCATCCAGCGGCTCCTTAAAAGACCTCTAGAGATAATCTTACACAACTTGAATGTGTGATTTATTTTGACTTCTAAACCCTAGCATTTTCCCAATCGTTTTCACTTGTCGTTTTTTTTTTTCCCAGTCAAAAGTCATTTTCCTTCCATTCACATAAAATACCGAGAACAGAATTCTCCTTTTCAGTGGGTGGCTACATAACACAGTCCATAGACTTCTAACCCTACACGTTTGCCACACAAATTATTCAATCGCCACTGTGACATTAAGTCCCTGACCCCAATTCCCGTCTGTGTGTTAACTACGTGTTAGCTAACTCGCTGCCACTTCTAACTCCTACAGTCGAGAGCCAGTCGCCGTGGAAGTTTTTTAACTCAAAAACATTTTAATGTGAAATACCTGCTGCCTTTTCTTAAGGCGGCTCTCCACTGGGCTCCTGTAGCTGTTCGGCTTTTTCCACTCCTGTTACTGCACTTGTAGTGTGTCAAACGGCCATGTGTTCACCCGGACACTCCAAGATTTTAAAAGTGCCCTTCAACTGTAGTGAATGAATGTGTAAATTAAGTAGGCTTTATAACAGAGATAACAAAGAGAAAAGTGACCAATTATATATACATATTTGTATTGTAGATTCGTATTTACTATTTATTGTGTTACCATTTGTTCTTTTTTTAATCTACTAATTTAGTCTTGACTTTAAGAATTTATTATATTTTGAAACGAACCAGCAACATTGACCAGGAGCTCGTTCGGTCAGCTCGAAGCTCACCTGATCATTATGAAGAGTTTCCTGCGCACTGTCAGCAGGCAATACCCCTCTCTTCTTGCAGACTCACAAGCATGTAGGCTGATGTCGTTAGATCTCAGGACCTAAGCAAGGTTAGCCCGGGCCAGTGCCGGGCTAAGAGACTTCTAAGGAAAACCAGGTTTGTGTTGAAGGTGGTGTTGGTGGACCGGAATTTCCAAGACTATTCTTCCAGTATAGTTTACCGGGAACACGCTGCAGGATCCGTCCTTTGGATTAGACCTTCAACTGAGGTCCTAACTAGTCAGTCACAAACACAGAGCAGAGATGTTAACCCCAGTATTCTGTTACCAAATAACCACTTTGACCTATTAATTAGGTCAAGAAAGTTTAAAATATTTACTTTTTACTGTTGGAATAAATGCAACACACATTCATTGCAAGACGCAGGTCTCAAAAACCCACCTGATGGCAGGCATGATTTTAGTAAAATAAACTACAGCTAATTTCTGCAGTTGTCTCGGCTTTCTCGTGTAATACAGAACCGTAAAGGTATGTTCAAATCTTGTGAGCTAACGTTGAGTGTTAGTGAACTAGTAAACAGCTTGATTAAACCCTATGACGATCGCGCAAACCGATACTGATGTTACAATTTCCGGAAGAATTCCGAAATTGTCATTTCTTTATCCGTGTCAGCCAAGAAAGAGGCTGATTTAGGCCCACAGTCACGACCTCGCCTAAAGGCTTATACAGCCATGTGACACAGGTAACGAAACAGGAAAAAAGAACATTCGATAAAGTGATTTGCAGGTAAATCAATAAAGTACACAAGCTGGGTATATCTGTTGCACGGTAGCGCTAGGCATTAAAAAGAACTACACCTACACTCAATGTCATACCTGTCACAAGATGTAGTCCATACTCCTCATGATCTTCGGTCCCGAATATCAATATTTACCGTGGTGCAGCACAGACTACGCGATAATGTGTAAGGATGCGTGCTGTGTGACTTCTTAATTTCAGTGCTGAAGTCAAAACGACAAAATTACATAATTGCGTTACACATATTACCGTTTCGTGTGAATCGTAATATTAAGCTGCCTACAGTATATTGAATTGCCTGTTTACTTTTTAAATTACAGACCTGTACATACAGTAATAGCAGTAATTGTGTGGATACAAGCAGTGACCTTCACAAGGAAAAGAAGATTGTAAACTGCTGGATACTTGTACTGTATATATATATTGTAGAACAGTACGTTTTGCAGTTCTTCATAAAGACATGTAGTTTTGTTTTACAAGTACATGTCTGGAAATATCAATGTCGCTATTTTAGAATCTGAAATCACAGCATCGCTGTGTAAGAGTAGAGTTACCAGAAGTGTACACCATGTAGCTGAAAACTGGGTTATTTAGTAACATGGTGAGTGAGGGGAGAGCTTAGATATCTAAATACAGAGATATACCGTATCTGTGCTTTCCCACAGTGAGAAAGAGCCAGAAAAAACAGCTGAGCTAGAACTACGAGATACACCGCGCATCAAAAACACTGGAAGAAGTCAAGTATCTGGATTTTGGATACTGATTAAAGGTTCTTGGCGTCACTTTGATTACTTGATCATTCATGACTGACCATGATACTGAAATCGCAGAGGTTGTCATGGCACAGGGGGACGAGAAGCGTCGCAACTTCTGTTTTGTTGTTCGGATATTTGATTAGCTGCGAAAACATCTCATGTTCTGTTGTTGCAAGTCTTTTTGAATAAAGGCATCAACTAAATGAATGAATGACATCGCAGGCTATGTTATTAGCCGTTTGCTGTTCACAGTTACTGTGCATTTTATATTACTGCGCTCGCTCGCTCTGACCCCGAAGCGTTGCAGTTAGTTTCAAAGTCGAAACAACCAAGACGCGCATTTTGCCTTCGGTCGGTCGCAAACCCAGATTCATCTGACATTTAACCCCGTTTTAGCCCCGAGGAGAAAGGCGCCCATAATTCGCGGTAATCGGATCCCGAGAGGAAAATGTAAATAAAAACAGGTCTGTCACACCTCCGCCCTTTCCGACTCACCGTTCCCGCAGCCAGCGTCAGTATCAGCAGTCCTGCCCGCAGTGGGCGTCGGTCACGGGGAGTGGACAGCCGGCCTATAAAACGCCAGGAGGAGAGCAGAGAATCGGCTAGTTTGGGTGCACAAAAAAGCAGGTTTGAAAATCCAGCGCCAAAGCTCAGTGGATATTAGCCTAAAAAAGGTACAGCAATGAACTACCTGGCTTTTACAACTTTCTGGCTCTTGGTAAGCATATGAAGAAATCCTTTGTACATGGTGTAACAGTCCATTTCTTTGTGTGTGATTACTGCTGCTGCTAGTCCTTTGAGTTCATATATGATGCAGCTGTGCCCATGTTGCGCGATTACGGTTATTTCAATTATTCGTTTTCATCGATACGGGCATGGTCTCTTCGGACGCGTTTTTACGATTTTCTCCGTGTTCCTAGGTGTCGCAAACGACGGCTGATCGGCGTTGCGACGGTCCCAGTGAGTAAGTATACCTGTCGTGGCTTTTATTTCTATTTCTCTTGCTTATGAAGTCACGGCTTCAATTTAAAGATGGTAGTTGTTATAGACCTAACTAAATGCTTTTTTTTTTTCAAATTGAAGGTGTCCGAATAGCGGTGTGGACTGGTCACGGCTCTGGTATGTCTGGTGAGTTGGCCCGTGTTCATTACTTCATTACTTCTGGATAGTTTTAATGTTCACGATAACGGACAGAGTACTTCAGCTCGGTCATAGAAGTTAAGAAGAAAGGGAATTTGGGATTGAAGGCTCAGCTATATCGGTGGATTAAGCTGTTTGGGGGAAAAGCTCCTGCCAGATTTGAAATAAAGCAGCTGAAGAGCCGTCTCACCTGCATGTCGGCTCACGCTTAGAAGGGCCGGGTCTTCAGGGCTGGCCGCTCACCCCCGCTCTCTCGGCGCTCGCAGGCTGATTCTCATGGTGGTGTCGGCGATGCTCGTGTGCGGGGTCATCGCCAGCTGCGTGCGGTGCTGCTGCAGGACGAGGAAGCCCCCATCGCCCACCTTCGCCGGACACCCCTTTGAAGTCACTGTCGTCTCCGTGGAGAACGAGAACACCACACAAAGCATAAGCACCGTATCGTGTAAGTTTGTTTTTTTTGTTTAACGTTTATGTATTTGAGCACCATACGGTGTTTCTACAAGAGGCATAACACAATGCCTTTATTGCCTACGTTTATGCTACGTTGTTAATTAATTAGATGGGTTTAATTTACAATATCTGCAGGATTGTAGCCTTAAAAAACCCACAGAATTTGCACAGCTAGAGCCATCATTGCCTAACACTTCTAACAGACACTAGTAGAAGAATATAGTTTTTTTGCAGCCGGAAGAACAGAATACTTTTATGAGATGCATTTGGTTCTTAAACTGTTTATAAGGTAAATTATCTTATTTGCCTTCATACCTCAATTTTGCGTCTCTAGTGACATGAATGACGATGTTGGGCTTTTTAAAGGTGGTATCGTTGTTACTCTAAAGGTGATTCAAAAGATCCCTAATAGCTTCTAGCCAATGTCGAGCTGTTTCTCAATTTTGGTATATGAATACAAGCATAGTTATCGGTTATGGTTCAACTGCCTATCAATATTGACTCCTTGTATAAGGGCTGCATCAGAACTAGGAAAGGCAGAGCTTTGATGCCATGAGGACAGTGGAGGAAGTCCTAAGTATTGGTAGCAGACTGTACAGGGATGGAAGAAACCGGAAGGAGCCCTCCTTGAGTTAACTGTTAACTGGTCTCTGATCTTCTGCCCACAGCCTACAGCGTGATACCCCACCGCCCGGGCAGCCTCCTGCCCCTGCCCTTCCGGCCGGAGGCTGGCACCAGCACCTCCCCTCCTCCTTACAACCTCTACGCCCTGGAGATCGCGCCCCCGGCCTACGAAGAGGCCTTGAAGATGCCTTTCGACCTGTACGCGGCCCCCCACGGGAACAGGAAGCAGGGGGGCCCGGCGGGCGAGGGGTCCCCCGCGGAGCGCCCCCTCTCCGAGCGGGACATGAACCGGAGGAACCTGGGGCAGCCGCCTGCGGGCGGCGCGGCCGAGGAGGAGCCTCCCCAGTACGAGCGCTACGACCCCATCGCGGAGCGGGCCGAGGAGGACTTCAGCGACGTGGACCTGGGCGAGCGGGACTCGGCTGGCTGTCACCAGGAGGAGCCGGGGAACTCCAGGGAAACCGAGCAAAGCTCGTGAGGACTTCTTTTTGTGCCACCATCGCTTCGAAAGGCTGCTCCGAGGTCGCTGAATTCGTTGGGTGACGCCACCTTAAAGATGGGATTAAACAGGGCTGAATTGCAACAAAGGCTTTTTCACAACTCTCCTTCGTGTTCGGTGCTACTTCATGCTTGATGTACGAAGGTGTTGCTTTTGACAGTTGTTTGGAACTTGGATGAAGAGACATTTGCTTGGCTTCAGTAAAAAAAAAAAGAGAAAAGCTGAAGAGACCCTGGTTTTACCCGAGAGCACCATGTATGAACAGGCATTGCTCCACGAATGACAGATGGGAATTCCTCTGCCCTCCAAGCCTGGGACAGGTCATGAAAAGAATTGCCACTCTGGGGGGGGTTGGGTTATAGGGACCTTGCTACAGTATGCAGAGATGACCTATGGCACAAACTCCTTTTTGTGTTAAATGCAGTGTTTTGCAAGGGTGTGGTCTCCAGCTGTCCTTGGCACCCAAGGGGATAGAGGCCCAGTAACCTCCCATATCCCTGCACGCTGACGCCATGGAGACAGGCACCAACAAACAGCACAGATGGAGCCGAGTCAGCAGAATTCAGACTGTTACAAGGACTCCCACTTGCTTTGACCAAGATTTGCATTTGACAGCATGTTGCTGCAGACATAGTCATTACAAAGTAATGGAAAATATCCAATAATTACCTTTTATACAGGTGAAGCAAAAAGCTCGATTTCAGAGCAAAGAAACCAGTTTTTTTGTTTTGAATGTGAGTGTTGCACCACAAAGATGAAAACCGGTATTTGAGCTTTAGATTCATTTTTATAGATAATGATCAGTTCCAGTTGATGGAAATCTTTAGTCTGACAGATTTATACAAATTTCACAAGTGTGGAGGAAATTGCATTTCATGGGCACAGGTAAATCAAACCCTGTATTTTATGTTCTAATGACTTGGATGGCAGTGTATTTAATCGGTCTCCATGCTTTGGCCAAAAGTGAGTTATTTCTAGTGCCTCTGTTAACAATTATATACTTTTTTGTATTAAAAACATACAAAAGGTATTGTCAGTTTTTGATATGATTGTAATAGTCCCGTTCGTGCTGCTTTTTTTAATTTTATAGTTTACAATGGTTTTAATTATAAATGTTTTCAGACCGTCTCAGAATCTTTCTTGGACAAAGTGTTATACATAATAAAATGACTACAAACAGGTGGGAATGGATCTTGTGAATAATCTTGTACATGCTGCTCGCAAAAGTTTGCGCCTTCATACAGATTTTAAAAGGGCAAGAAAATCACTCTTTTAAACCACAGATGCTGACTTATGAAGTGCAGAGCTTACATAATCACAGATGTCGAACTACTAAGATTCCTCGGATGTGAAAAGTGGAATTGCAATTATGCTATAGTTCATTTTTTCTATGTTATTGAAATAACAGAAGTTTGTGCCACCTCTCAGCCTGTGCTGAACTGTATGATTTATCCCAAAGCTGCTTTTCACACAGCCCTCAGACACCGTTGCCTTTTACTGAAAGAAGCCAGGAAACAAATGCTTTAAGAACACTGGTTTATTACTGTTCCACACATGGTCTATTGTGCTCATAAAAATAAAACCAAAACTTTTGCAATATTTTGTGATGTACAATTACAATGCAGAATCTTCTGACCTTGTTCTGTGCAGTGCTGGAGAAGCAGTGAGGTACAATGGCTTCCTGGGGTCACAAGCACATTTCAATCTAGTTGGTACATTGGATAAATGACTTGGCCAAGACTGACTTTTATTAAATAAAGCCAATAATGGTAAAATATGAACCTGCTTGAAGCAGCATATTCAGAATTTGTACGCAGGATGTCCATCACCTTTGCAGCGGCTCACTGGAATTTTCTCTCATGATGTCATCTTAAAAGAGTCACCCGTCATCATGGCCACGAATTCTGGAGATATTAAGAAGTTAACCTGGTTACCTTCTCGCTCTGCATAGAGGTCACCGTCTTCGTGTGGTAGACGCTCAATTAACAGTCCCGAACACAAGTCTTGGGTGTTGTCTTTTCAAGTGGCCTTAAGTGCTGTGGTGTGACATGTGTTGCTTTCTCAGCAGTCGGCCTTTCTATTTTTAATATCGATTTCAGATTCCAAAACACAAATCTATCGCTTATCAGTAAACCACTTAAGTTGTGTTTTCTGCTTATACAAAATATTGTGCGGTGTCATTTAGTGCTAGTACTTCATGCTTTGCTTTGTGGCTTTTCGCAGGATGGGCTGGTACACATTGCCACAGCCCTGAGTAAATGTACAGCACGACAAAGGTGGACTAAAACATTCAGACAGTTTTACCTTCGTAGTCAATCGTTCCATCCCCGTCCTTATCTGCTTCTTTCATCATCTGCTCGGCCTCCTCCTCGTTCAGGGGCTCGCCTGCGTTCATCAGCACGTATCTGAAAGGCGTTGGAGGACCAAGCTCGCTGTTGAATCGCAGCTTGTCGAGAACACGAGGGATTCTTATTCTCTTTGCTTGAACTGTTCCCATCCCCCTGACCCAAGTCACCGGTCATGTTTGCAGTTTTTTCGTTCCAGCTCAACCACACTGTCTAGCTAGATCTCCTCTAGATCGAGTGCAAAAAAAAAAACTGGACATTGGCAATCTAAGTAAACCAATAATTTATTCATTTTAGGGTTCAATTAAGTCAACTAAAAGGTTATCTGGAACGCAAATTCGCAGAGTCACTCAGGACTGGGACTGGTGAATTTTTCCATGATATTTGCTACAATGTGCCATGGCAATTTTGTGCTCAGACCATATAATATATAGCTCACCACTTGATGTCAGCATAACACAAAAAAAACCATCGCAAGGAACATTCTCTACACACTAGTGCTTACTTTATATTGTGTTTTTACAGTTCAATCAGGTTTTAATGAGCATTAAATTTCCAGTCTTAAAATGTGTGCAAAAGGTGCTGTTTAAACACAGTAGTCTGTGTTATGTTAGGCTTTTTTCCAGAAGACACTAAGAACTCAATAGAACAGAAATCCCTAATCCTGCTCGTCTTGGGACACTGCTTAGCACGTCCTCTAAATCCTCAACAGTTTAGCCTTAATTGAAGCTTTTTTAACAACCCTACTAGCTGCAACACATGAATAAATGATCTTGTCCTGGCGTGAATCATGCGGCATTTACAATTGCACTCGTTTAAGAGGGCAGAAGGGTTGTTTAGTTGGTTAACGCTGCTGCCTCACAAAACGTGGGTTCTGGGTATCTATGTCTCAGGTGTTCGTGTGTTCCCCAAGTGTTTGCAAGGGCGGGGGCTCCAGTTTCCCCCACCTTCCTGAGACATGAGAACTAAGTTAATTGCTGCTAATGGCTGCTGTAGGTTTTCATTTCAGTTAACCTCTAAACAACCTCAATCCGCTCATTATTGACTTAACTGGACCAATGTAACAGGTTCGCCTAGCTCCACAGGTGCTGATGCATTGAAGAAACCTAGAAAACCGTCAGGAACAGGAGCGGACAGCGCTGCTCTGAATTGTATGCAGACGCGCTTTGCATCCTACACACCAGAGCTGCGCTCCGGGCGACCACTAGCTTTCTGATAGTAAAATGTCTTTTAGGAATGCGGGCGAATGCACGCTGTGTTGTTGTAAGAGCACTGACACAGGAAAAAAACATCAACGTACTTCAGGGTGTCCCAGTCGATATAGCCTTTGGCATCTTTATCGAACACTTTGAAGGCCGCTCGCAGTTCCGCGTCCTGGTTCTTAGCCCTCTCGTGGTACAGTGCCATCAGTCCCAGGAAACTGTCGCAGTTGAAGAGGCCCTTGCCTGCGATTTGAAAGAGGGGGTGAGTCGGCATTTAGGACGCAGCGGGCTGCTGCAGTCTTCACTGAGCACAAAGCCGAGGTGTTCAACTCCAGTCCTGCCAGCGCGGGGAGCCCAGAGCCGTGCGTTTCTGGAGGCTCTGAATTATATATTCGATCTGATTATTGGATTTATTTAGTCAATACAACGCTTTCCCCTTGTTGTTTAGCTTTCTTTAAACTCCCAGAAGCAGTAAGGCCATCTGGAGTTCTGCTGGCCACCAGGACTGGAGTTGTGCATCCCTGTTACAAAACGTACAAATCAATATTTGTGTAGCGTCTTGTGAATGTAAGAGGTTTTATTCGCTTTATCGTCCTAATTTCTCGATGCTGTCGTCAGAAGTAAGATACGTTCTTTATACTGGACCTTAGTAGAAGCTTTAAGATATTTTTTTTTTCTAGAGTGGTAGAAATAGTTCTTAATCATCAAATTTAAAATTTTAAAATTGAAAAGGCAATTTCTGCTCAGGAACATGTACACGAGAAGACGGGCTTAACCACCAGATGGCGCGCTGGTTCAAGAAATTGCACGTTGCAAAAACTCGTTCTAATATTCAAAGAAGTGATGCAAACGATTAAGTGCTGAGTGGTTCTGCAGCTCAGGGCTACAAATCTGTAAATCTTTACTCTGTAATAAATGTCAACAAGTGCTTAAATGATGTCCCTGGAGTCTTCTGTTCATGGATCATATCATCCCCAGCTGTTGGACCAGAAAAGACAATGATCGTCCCTTAAAGTCCAAAAGACTTCATACGAATCCGTCCACTTTCTACTAATTCAGCGGGACTTGTGCGTTTAGAGTGCATGAGCCCTGTAGTGTCAGGGCACAGTACAGGGCAGCTGACCGGGAGACAGCTGGGCAGTCTTACCATCCTTGTCTACATCCTTGGCCATCTGCACCAGCTCTCTCTTGGTGAGGTTGATGCCCATGAGGCTCATGAGTCTCTCCAGCTCCGATGTCTTGACGTCGCCGTTCCCCTCCTCGTCAAACATCTCAAACACGCCTTTGTACTCCGTGATCTGCTCGGGAGTCAGGGCTTCGACCTGCGGCAGTGCCGGAATCAAGGGCCAGAGAGAATTATTCTGTCAGCCTGCTGATAGGGCTGCACAACACTTTAGAATGTGCGTGTTCTGCAATAAATCCAGACCACAAGTGCTCCAATGCAGCATGTTGTCCTAGACAAGGTATTATTCCAGTGCAGTAATATCTTATAACAAAATACCACTGTACAAGGACTACAGAAACAGGGTCATGTGCCTAATATCCACCATGTTTGAAGAAATGATGAAAACACAACAATACATGATAATAATTCTTCTTATTACAATTTCATATGCTTCAGAATAATGAAAGACATTAAGGTTGCGCTTTCAAACTCTCTTCTCCGAAAGACACAAATCATTTCCCACCAGAGTTTTGAGATTAACACCATGAATCACCGCAGAGCCGTTCTGACATGCATCTCACAGTGTGACTGGTTAGTCTGGGACTTTATTCAGTCACTTACTCATCTCCCGTGCTGCTGCTGCTGCTATTTTAGCTCAGTTTTCCTTTTATTACCTGAGCATCCATCACCTGTCAGAATTTATCAAATGGCGCAATGTACCGTATATTTCTTCCCACTTTTCCAGGTTTCGCCGGTGGAAGATTTTTTTTCCATGGAAAAGTGTGCACAGAAATAGTACTCACCATTTTGTCAGATGCTGAGACTGACGACGAGCACTGAAAGGTCCGAGACTGACCGAGTCCTACCTCAAGTCAGAATGTATGTCCTAGGCTGAACATTATTCAAGGAGCCACACCGCAGAATCCCCACGGACCTCTGATTTCTCATAGACCTTTTATGGTTTTCGGGGGGACAGAGCACTGGACTCCTATTTCTGGAATATCTGCAGCGGTCTGTTTGGGGATATCAGTTATCGAAACCTCAGTCTTGACGAGGCAACAAGTCAGCGCAGAAATTTCAAGCCGCGATGCACAATCTTTGACAGTTACTTCAGAGTAACTATTTATTCTACAACTGTCTGTCCCACAGGGTTCTTTTCATGCACCTGATACTGGCTTCCGCACCGTTTTTAATTCCCAACTTAATGTGAATGACAGATGTTGTTTTTGGAATATTTTTATCCTATATAAGCATATAAAATAGAATAAAAGGCTTAAAGTCAATTCTTTGATGACCACAAAGCCACCTGTCCTTCTTCCCAGTTACTTGGTGCCGATTCCACACTTTCCCCTGGATTTCAACATACATGTATAACATACATGACAAGTAGCACATATACATGTGATACCAAGTCTACATGTTAAGCCATCGCCTTTAAATACTCAAGGTAACACAGCATTGCAAGCAACATATTCAGTCAGTACTGTGACAACGTACTTGATGGCTTATGTCCACGTGCTCCTGGAGAGGGGAACCAGATACACCAGGCACAGGTTACAAACCCAGTACTTGAGGATGGCTTTATGTTTGCAAAGGACATTTATTTTTCTGCTCAAAAGGAAAGCAGTCAAACTACAGGTCTGTACATTGCGACTGGTGACAGGGGCAATATTTCGATTTGGTCTGGGCCCGAGGCTGGAGTTAATGGCCCCTAACACCGCCCTCCTGCTGTGTCCTGCAAATTGCTCCAGAAACGCATGGCTCGGGGCTCCTCGTGCCCCGAAGAGAGCTGCTAACTGTTATTAGCTCACCATATTTTTCCAACAGGTGCGGCCCTCTCCCAAGAGCACTGCTCCAGGCCATCTCGCCAAATAAGGGGGCAGGCTGGAGCGCCGTGTTTATTTAGACCGTCGCTCTGGGAATTGCCTTGAAGGAGAGAGGCGGGAGGGCGGTGGATCAACTTCTTGATAATCTGACCCCAAAACACATGGTGGCTGCTTGTCATTTTGTCATTTACCTCCTAACCGCGGTGAAGAACCCAGCGCACGCAGCACAGATCGGGAAAGGAGAGAAAGCTGAACGAGAGAAAAGGGTAATCCTTTGAAATGATTAAAGAATTAGAACAGATGGTTATTACAGACCTTACAAACACACTGAGGAGTATATGCAGTATGGAACACATAGACCTTTCCATAGTTTTTATTAATTCAGGTATTCCATATGCATTTAGAACAGAGAAACAGAACACTGATACAGCTTTTTGTTTTATTACTTTGACAACACTTTGACTACCGCTTCAAATCCAAAATAATAGCACGGTGAGACTGAAATTCCCAGGAAACCTGTTCAAGATGCCATGTTTCAGAGCCACTCTTATTCCAGATGGGTGTGTAAGTGACCAGAGAGAGCAACAATTCCAAGACAGGCCGGAGCAGAATTCCATTGCAACATCTCCTGGAATTAATACACATAAAAGAGATTTGTTTTCCAAAACAAAGATCTGAGTACATAAAATGGGTAAAATGAAGGAATTGAATCCTTAACTGGACCAATAATTTAACTAAGCAGCTGAGCTGAAATAAAAACCAGGAGGCAGTGGTGTACTTTGTGACCAGAACTGAGAAACAATGTCTTTAAATCAGTGGTATTAATTCCTGGTCCTGGAGGGCCCCAGACCAGACCAGGCTTCAGAGGTGACTTCTGACTGTCAATGAGTAAAGAGCTGGAAACACTTGCAGGATGCAGTGATTAGGTAAACAAATGATTCAAGTCAAGTCAATGGGAGTCCAGTGTGGAATGAAAAATGGAAGGTATGGCGCCCCCTCCAGGAACAGGAGTGAATATCAGAGCCCTGACTTACTGATTGATATGACCTCTTTTATCTCAAGCTACATAAAATCACACCATGTTAAAGCACATACTCACTATCCTGAGATTGTTCCAAGAAAGATAAATACAAGAAAAATAGATGTAATTGAAAAAGATTCATCCATACTGCATTACAATATTTGCCAGTGTAACAATGGGGTTGTTTTTCTGAATATTTCTTTCATATGTTTTGCCAGGAGAAACTGATTATTGTCAGGTCATTCAATGAGTTTTGACACAGTACAATCAGATCCTCATGAACCTTATTGATAATAACAAGGTACAGATCTTCAGAGCTCTTAATAGTACTTACTCCAATCGTTTGCAGATTCAATTAACTAAAACCTATTCGGTTTAATGAAGCCTGCAATGTCTGTAAAGTCTGACTTCTGTATTATTTTGTGCTATGTTGCTCAGCATTAAGCTGCAATTGACGTTGCAGGAATAATCTCCTCTGTGGTATTATAACAGAACACAAGGGGCACCGTATCAACAGCAGATGTCAGTGAAGAAGCACTTGAATGAGCTCTGGGAAGCTTTGCACACTCAGGGAAACATGCTGTCAGCATTTAAAAGAGATTGAAACAGATTACACCAAATCAGATTATTATATTACATCCAAGCCAAGCTATAAAAAGCAAGGTAATTATAAGATTTGGCTTAATCTAATGTCAGTCTTTTCCTGAAATCATATTATATCATCTTTGTATTATCATTTTCCTAAAAGCCCAGTTACTAGCAGATCTGTCAGATAGGTGGGCTACCCTCCTGGAATGAGGTGTACTGAGACAATGGCAAGGGCTTTGACCTATCATCCCTGTGATTACGAATACATTCCCTGTTCTAACTGGGATTTCATCTTGATCCTCTGCTGTTCTAACATTCATTTCAATTGTTTTATTTCAGGCTCTTTCTTGGCTTCCGGTACTACAGAGTCTATATGCTTGCTCACTTGGCTTGTATCTTTATTTTCCTTTTATGTGTGGGAACGGCAGACTGAATAAGGGACAGAAGTGTTTATATGGATGGATAAATGGAAACTGCCATCTACAAAGAATTCAAGACAAGCAACCACAGACAGATGTTCATCTCCTATTGGGGTGCATTGGTGCAATAAACAGAGAAAAAATAGCTTTAATGCACCCTTTCTGAAGTTCAAAAGTACAATATTTGTGTCCCGTTTCTTTGAATTAATATTTACTCTGCAAGACTATCTAGTTGCTCCATTAAGCCTCTCTCATTACTAGTAAATAGTCCCATTTCCACTCAGCTGAAGAGAGGAGGAACTCTGAGGTCTGCCGATGACCAGTACAGCTCAGAAAGACCAATGGCCGTGCTCCGCACTGATAGCGATAACGACATCATCCGACGCGCTAAAGAGAAAAAATTAAGACAGGGGATGGTGAAGGTGAACGTTTCCATGACTGTTCTGGATTTTAATTTAATTCCAAGCCTGAACACCCACATGCAATATGCTATTGACTTCACCGGCACAGCTTGCACGAAGAGAGCCAGGCTCTCAGAAACAAGCGGCTACTCTCGGTTTCCACAATCCTTATTTACGGTGGCCTTTCTTACAGTGTGAACAGCAATGTCTGGTCACCAGCCCGGCTGAATAAAAAAAAGACGTTTACATTTGTATGTCACATACTGGGTGAAATATTTCGAATGCTTTTTTTTTTTTCATTTTGGCGAGTTTTCTCTACTCACATTCTTCCTCTATGACCAGAATTATATGGATAAGAATATCAGGTGTTAAGCATAAATGTTTCGCTTAATCATCTATTGCTTTTATTGTGTATATTTCTTGCAATAATTGCATACCTTTTATAAAACAACCGTAAAAAAAAAACAAAGTGATATATGTATGATATATATATCCACAAGCAAAAAGATATACTTTGCATATACTGTATGTTGACAAAATACTGTTACTAAAAGATTTTGAAGACAAAGGAAAGTTGGAGTCGGTTTCAATGCCTATACTCTGGTAAGATTTTCCATTGTATAATGTGCATATATATATATAAATGAAAAAGAAACCCATTTGATGAAATCTTACTAACAGCTGGTCATAGAGCAAGTGTTATGAGGAGAACTGTTCATGCCACCTCAATGAAAAAGAAGATTTCGGAGAGGGGAGCGGGCAGAGCATCGCTATTCGTCACGTTTTCGCTGCTCCCGGTCTCAATGCCGATTTCGACAGAGGAAGGCTTTGAAAGTGTGGAGAAACACCACGCACGCACGGCCACACGCGGCGTCCGAGCCAAGAACTTCCGGGCTTCTGCGGACGTACACACCCCCCCCACCCCGCATCCTGCATTTACACCGCCAGAAACTGACAGGAGCGATGGCCGGGTAAGAGCTATGCTCTCCGTCACCACTGGGCGGAAACACCACTTCCTCGCTCCGCAAAATTCCCCCTCCAACTTCGAATGGACGCGACCTGTACGGTGTCCAAGAGAATCACGGAAACTATTCTGTAGAACACAATGCATCCGCTTTTTCTTACAGATGCGATTCTATTATTTTGGGGGGGGGGGTTATATACGTGTATCAAAGGTGCCAGTATTCCCGTATGTGCAAAACTGTTCAGGGCAAGAGCATGCTAGTGAATCACCCAACAGACGAGAAGTATCACTGTTGCCGATTCAATTGCATACAACGTTCTGAAGTTGAGATTGAAATGGCTTTTGTTCCGCGCACTTCCTGGGCTAATGGTAATGAAATTAAAGAGTGACTTCTTCGGCTTCATTCGGAGACGGCAAATTGCTGATGTTGCACTGAGGCCATCTAGCCGGGAATACACTGAGCTCATGCATTTCCAAATTGCCCCCTTACGCTGCAGTGAGCTACCTACAGGAGATAAAAGGCAGACAGCCATTCTAACGATTCCCAGTGGGATCTGTGGTGTGGCTTTTCTGAAAGATGCATCAAGACAGGGGGTATCTAGGGTAACCGTGTCTTGAAAGCGCTTTCTTCGTTTGGTACAGGCTTTTGTGTATGACTGTGAGTTACTGTATACTGTATATACATTT